CTACAATCTGGCTTCATTCCTCCTGCTGCACTGATGTTGTCACTGGCCTCCTAATTGCCAAATCTAATGAACATGTTTTTAAAATGTTTTATAGTGGGCTTTATCTGATTACGAGAGGGGTATGCATCATGAACAAAGTTATGACATATGGCAGACTAGAGAGAAAAAACTTGTACTATATAACAGACAATAGGTAAATATACCGAATAAATATAGTGTTCTTACAAACAAATCAAATATATAACCCAAAAGATAAATGTGCAAAGGATATAAAAGGAGCAAGTCTCAGAAAAATACAAACAGCTAACACACATGAAAAGATGCTCAGCCGCACTAGTGATCAGAGAAATGCCAAGTTAAATCAGTTAGACACTATTTTTCACCTATCAGATTGGCAAAAATTAAAAGCATCATCCATCCTCAGCAAGGCCATGAGGAAAACCACTTGCAATGGTGAAAGGGTAAACCCTCTTGGATATCACTCTGGTGATGCCTATTTAAATTATTTAATGTATATATTCTTTGACCTAACAATTCTACTAGAAAGCTATCCCACAAAAACACTTCTGTATATAGATCCTTGAACATTATGAAAAGATGTCTGTGGTAGCCTTGTGGTGGCTTGGACTAGGGCGATAGTCAGAGGAGATGGAGATATATGGCAGAATACATGATACAGTCTGAAGATCAGGTCAGCAGGACTCCCTAATGAATTAAATTAGGTGGAGGAAAGTGAGAGAAAAAGAAGAATCAAGGGTAATCTTAGGTTCTTGGTTTGAGCAACTAAATGGATGATGGTGACATTTTACTAAGACAGGGAGTGCTGAGGGAAGAAGGTGGGAATACCAGGGCAATTGGGAGTGCTGTTTTGGCCCCATTACATTTGAGAGGTCTGACAGATGAGCAGAGACATTAAATAGGTCATTGCATATATAAGGCTGTGGCTTAGAAGAAAGGCCTGGGTCACAAACATAAATTTAGGAGTGATGAGTGTCTAGATAGATGTTCTTTAAAGCCATGTGGCTGAATGAGAGCTTCTGTGAAGATTTTGGATGGAAAAAAGTCTAGGGACTGAACCCTGGGTCACTGCGATATTCAAAGGCTTGGGAGACAAATTTAGTAGAAAAAGAAACTGGTCAGTTTTTTGTACAAATTTGAGTTTCAAATAAGTTAGCATACATTAAATGATGAGAATCACATGTTTACCACCTTATGAAGGGCCCAACTTTTTCCAAGTCTGTCTTCAAAGTGATTCTGGCCTCTTCCTTTCTGAACATTTCAAAACACTTTTAAACAGAATAGCACTTTTTTCATTTATGTTACATAGTGGTTTCTTCATACTGCACCATCGTCCTAGTAGAAAAGTAGTTAAGTACAACACAAATAGCACTCAGCTATGGCTTTTCCATGAAGTTCCATAATCCAATAACCACCTCACACCAAAAAGGCTATGGGTAACTTGAAACTAGAAGCCTAATTCGTGGCATCCGTTATTCTTTTGAGCTGTTCACTTCCCCATCGCACAGTAATTTTCTCCAGCCTCTCACTGAGCTTGCGAAAAGCCTGAAAGGCTTCAAGACATCTGACAATCCACACCCCTTCCTCCCAGTGCAGCCCCCTTTCCTACCAACAGGAAGCACAACACTTTTATATTTCCACTTTTAAACTTTAGAGATTTCCATCCATACTTTTAAAAAGTAAGAGAGAGGAAGTACTTCTAACTAGGTCAAAGTTGGCATCAGGAATGAAATGTCAAAGCAAAACTCAGCAGAAATAAAGCTGAGTTCTGGGCCTGGGACAAACTTACACCTGCAGGGTGACAAACTGGGTAGGTTTTCAGGTCCAGGAGTGCCTAATTCCAAGAGTGCCAAATTCCTAGAATGGTAATGTCATTCATTCGTTAACAAATATTAGTATGCACCTATGATGTACCAAGGACTGTTCTGGGTCCCAGAGTCTACCGGTGAATACAACAGACAGTAATCCCTACCCATAGGGTGTTTATGCTATGGTGGGTGAGGGAGTAGGAGGGCAAACAATAAGCAAGAAAGATACAATAAGGTAGGGAAAGGGCATATGGAATGTTCAGGGAAGGGATTACACGTTGAAATAGGGCAGTCAGGGCAAACTCCTTAGCTGTGGCATTTCAAGTGCCTCAGAAAGGTGTCTTCTGTACCTCAACCCCACCATCACCAGACCTCAGCCCCTTGAAGGTACGGCATGGTATGTCCAATTACTGGCACAAATATTTGCCAATATCTTATGTTTAAGATAAAGGAAGCTCCAAGATCCAGACCTTGCCCTTAGAGAAGTTACAACCTTCCAGGTAGAAAAACAACTAAGAGGAGTGTTAAGGGCTTTACTGAGGTATAAACAAAGTGCTTTAGGACACAGAATAACTGGCAATTCTGCTTGGGGGAAGAAGTATGTGTTCAGTAAGGCCGTTCCAAAGGAGGTGACTTTAGAACTCAATCTTGAGGGATGGATAGGAATTAATGTTAGAGGAGAGGGTGTGGGGGAAGAAAGTTAGCTTTTGAGGAAGAAAAAATAAGAACAGTTTCAGCAAAGTCCAAGAGAGTTTTTGAGTTTCAAACAAGTGGGAGGGAGAATGGAAATAGGGAGGACATTTTCTTCCTATCCCTGCCTATGGTACTCTGTCCGATGACAAAACTAGCACACGATCACCCTCGGGCTTTCCGGTATGGCTGACAGGAAATCTGTATCACTTACCACTCTCTCATTTCTCCCCTAGCCAGTAGGAGAGGAAGAAGTTGAGTCAGGCACACATCCCTAGAATCCAGGGTTACCCTCTCCTAACTTCAGCACAATTACCACAAAGCTGAGAACCCAGGAGATTTCATTCATCCAGGTACACTCACATGTGTACTTATAGTGGTAATATGGCAACTGGTCCATGTTGGAAATGAAATGGGTAAGACATCAGTGAGGTAAGTGGTCCATAGTCTCTGCAGTACATCTAGGGTGGAATCAAGGAGCAAAACATATACTTGGGCTTCGAAGGAAAATTTTTAATCACTTAGTCTTCATCCATGAGCTATTCAGTGTTCCCAACATCCAAGGCAATAGAGGTGATGTGACAGGATAGGAACACAAGATCTGCCTCCATTTGAGATTTTGGGGCAAGGCACTTAACCTCTGAGTCTCTTTTTCATCATAATATGGTTATAACAATAGCACCTACTGTATAGATTTATTGTGAGGATTGCATAATTATGTAAAGAACTTAGCACTGTGTCTGGCTCAATGGCTAACAACCATTGTTAGTAGCAGCCTTTAAGGGGAAAAGCTCAGAGAGTCAGAATACTACATGCACTCACAGATCAGTTACCCCAGAAAAAGCCTCCAAGCTCCATTTCACTGCTCTGACCAAGAGTGAGACACTTGAAATTGTGTTACCAGAAATGTTCATCCCCTACCCAAAAAGAGCCTCACAAGCCAAGTTGGTGTCGCTTTTCTACTACGGTTTCCAGCAGGTGCTAAAAACCAAACCACCAAAAAAAATCAGAAAACTTCATCAAGGCCACAATTCTGCGTTAAACACGACAAAAGTCTTAAGTCATTAATACCTCAATTTTAATAGATTTATGAGAGGTGAAGAGCTTAAAGAGCAGAAAACAAACCAGTTAAATATAGGAGGTCCGGGATGTACAGAAGACTAATTTTTGCCACAAATACAGAAAGTCTAGGGTCAACCCTGCCAAGAACAGTATTCTGGAAGGCTAGGTTCTCTAGTCCTGAAGAAGCAGGGAACCGGGAGAAGAAAAGCTTGGTTACTTAGAAACTCACCACTGTTCAAGACACCGGATTTCTTTTTTTTTTTTTTTTTTTTTAATTTTTTATTGGATTATAGGTTTTGGGGTACATGAGCAGAGCATGCAAGACAGTTGCGTAGGTACACACATGGCAGTGTGCTTTCTTTTCTTCTCCCCTTCACCCACATTTGGCATTTCTCCCCAGGCTATCCCTCCCCACCTCCCCCTCCCACTGGCCCTCCCCTTTTCCCCCCAATAGACCCCAGTGTTTAGTACTCCCCTTTCTGTGTCCATGTGTTCTCATTTTTCATCACCCACCTATGAGTGAGAATATGCGGAAGACACCGGATTTCTAACCAGATGATTTCACCACCAAAAATCCTATCTCATTCAATGTTAAAGGTTGGAGGAACACCTTTATCTGCCCCATTACAAACTATCACAGCAGACAGAAGCATTCTGCGCCCCTTCTGAGATCTCGGGGACCCTACTCCAGGACCAGATCTCCCACATCCTGCTTGAAGAGCAGCGAGATAAAGCAGCTCCAAAGCACACAGCCCGGTTCCCAGCCCCAAGAGCAGAAGGAGCCCACTGAGGCAGGACTCCAGCCAAACAGCCTCCAGCCCTTACCTGTGGCTGACTGGCCGATGCCGAAGCCGGAGAAGCCGACGCAGCGATGTCGGAAGTCCGAAGAGAGTGTGAGTTAGCGACCCCGCTCGATGGCAAAGCGCTTCGAGAGGAACCCACAAAAAGGTGACGGGACTCCTTGTAGAGCGCAGTTCCCGCTAGGAACTCAGCCCCGCCCCCGACCCCCAGTGCCAGCTCTCGAGAGGGACACGAGCTCCGGTTGGCGGGAAAAGCCCGGGCAATCAGCTCGAGGGGAGCCGGAGAGGAGAGGGGAGGCGACTCCCAGAGGGGCACAGCCCGCTTTCGTGTCAGGTGGGTCAGGGAAGGGGCCAGAAGAGGCTCTGGAAAAAGAAAAGTGGCCAGGAGGGACCGCCCAACCAGACGGTTGTCCAAGCCTGGGGGGTGCGGTCCGGAGAGGCAGACGGGGAGAGGGGAGACGTGGTCAGCTAGGGAGAAGGAAAAACTTGGGGAGCAGAGGGCGGGTAGGGAGTACGCAAGACCCCGAGATGGGGGTGGGGGCGCTTCAGCAGCTAAAAGGAGCTGGGAGCCCAGAAGGAGCCCGGACCGAGGGCGAGGGGTAGCAGCTGGCTGCGGACTTACCTGTCACCTGCAACAGGTGCCTCCAGAAAGCGAGAATTCCCAGTGCCGAAATTCAGGGAGGGTCTCCGGCTCCGGAAAGACTGCAACCCAGCTCTGGCGGCCAGCCCTTCTCACCCTCCCGGGAGGCGGAAAAAGCTGCAACTTTCCCTGGAGCGGGGAGGAGCTGGACTCTTAAAGGGGCCGCACAGCGCCCCCGGGCTCCTTACTAGGGGGGCCGCTCAGCTCGAAGGGGAGCTCTGAGACCCAAAGCCTTGAGACACTGGAGGAATGTCCTCCCAGGTTAGGAATGGGAGCCTGCGGATTGAGGATAGGGGTCTAACACTAGACGTGCCTCCCCACCCCCTTACTCCCATCTGTTGGTCACTCTCTTAGATGGTGAAATCACCTGCCTCTTTCCTTCAGCTGAGTCAAAAGTTGTCAAATTGTCTCGCACTTCTAAAAAGATAAAGAGTATGAACTATCTAATTTGAGTAAATAAGATATAATACTATTCTGATCCTTTGACTTACGGCCTTTCATGGCAAATAAATGTGTCTAAAATAGAAACGTTTTGGGCAAAGGACTAAATTCACAGTTACACACTCAAGGACACAACTGGTTAAGATATCCAACTCACTAGTAATCAAAGAAAATCAAATTAGAACAATAATGACATTATTTGGCAAAGAGTTTTTGTTTTTTTAAATAATAATGATGACCAAGTGGCCACCAAACAAGCTCTCAAAATTGCCGATGGGATCATATGTTGGTGTTAAAAACCCTTTTAGAAAGCATGTGAGCAATATATATCAACAGACTTTTAAATGTTCATATCTACCCAGTAATTGCAGATTCCTCTCCCTCCCTCTCCCATTCTTCTCCCCTTTGTTTCACATTAGCAATTAAACATGCTCAAGTCTCTACTATCTTAAAGAAAATCCTTTCTACACAGGAGGTCCCTCTTCAGGTCCTCTTTATGGGCAAATGTATTGAAAATGTACTTTACAGGTGAAATTGCAATTTTTATTCCCTTACTTCTCATTCATTTCTCAGCTCCCAGCAATCTGGCTACCTTTCCCCACTGAAACTTCTCAATGAGATACCAAGCCAATGGCCCTCAGTGTCAATAAATCCATAACTAAATAAGGTATTTTGGGTCCTTATTTTGCTTTACTTCTCCCCTACATTTAACACTGTTATCCATTTGCTCCCCCTTGAAACTTTCTATGGCATTGCTGACATTGTACTCTTTTGCTTTTCCTCCTACTCCTTTGCCCTCTCTTCAGTGACCTTTGTAGGTCACTCTTCTGCTATCTGACCTCTGGAAGTCAGACATTTTCAGGGCTAGGATACATATAGTCCCTCCCTAAATAATCTTTTTCACTCAGTTGGCTTTAATTACCATTTATATGGCCACAACTGTAATTCTATAACTCTAACCAGACTGCTTTACTGAGTTCTGTTTTCTTGACATCTCCACTTGAATGTCCTGCAGGCACCTCAAATTCAACACATCCAAAGTTAAACCTACCATCTTTTCTCTTAAATTTGTTCCTCCTCCAGTATTTCCTATATCAGTAAATGACAACATGCCACTCAAGGCAGAAACCTGGCACCTACCATACTACCTGGCACATGGTATGCCCTCAGTAACATTTGTGTAATGAATGAACATGTCCTAAGAAAAAAGAGAGGTACACAATGTTTTTGTTTACCTGTATTAATCCCAGTATTACACAGAATAATATGCCAAAAAAAGTTAATGATTCCATGATTAGGTTAATTACGATATAGTTATACAACAAAATATAGCCGATCAAACTGATATTTACACATAGTTTATAATGACACACAAATGCTTATGCTATAATATCAATTGAAAGTAGCGCCGGGCGTAGTGGCTCACGCCTATAATCCCAAAACTTTGGGAGGCCGAAACTGGCAGATCACGAGCTCAGGAGTTCAAGATCAGCCTGACCAACACAGTGAAACCCCGTCTCTACTAAAAATACAAAAATTAGCCAGGTGTGGTGGTACGCATCTGTAATCCCAGCTACTCAGGAAGCTGAGGCAGGCAGGAGAATAACTTGAATCAGGAAGCAGAGGTTGCACTGAACTGAGATAGCACCCCTGCACTCCAGTCTGGGCAACAGAGTGAGACTCCATCTCAAAAAAGAAAGAAAAGAAAAGAAAAGAAAAGAAAAAAAAGAAAAGAAAAGAAAAGAAAAGAAAAGAAAAGAAAAGAAAAGAAAAGAGAAAGAAAAGTAGGGTACCACATTTACTGTAAAAGATCACAATTAATGGAAACAGGATATGCATGAAAAAAGATTAGAAGGAAAAATAGGCATACTTCATCTTACTGCATTTTGCATTATTGTACATTGCAGACATTGTGTTTTCAGAAACTGAAAGTTTGCAGCAACCCTGTTTCAAGCGAGTCTGTTGGTGCCATTTTTCCAACAGCATGTGCTCACTTCATGTTTCTGTTTCACATTTTGCTAATTCTCATATTTCAAACTTTTTATTATTATATCACTATTCTAGTGACTTGTGATCTTTGATATGACTGTTGTAATTGTTTTACCACACCATGAACCATGCCTATATAAGACGACAAACTTAATTGATAAATGTTTTATATGTTCCTACTGCTCCACCAATTGGCTGTTCCCTCATCTCTCCCTCTTTGCAGGCTTCCCTAGTCCCTGAGACACAACAATATTAAAATTAATTCAACTAATAACTCCACAGTGGCCTCTACAAGTGTTCCAATGAAAGGAAGAGTCTCCTTAAATCACTTTAAATCAAAAGCTGCAAAAGAGAAAGCTCACTGAGGAAGGCATGTCAAAAGCTGAGATAGGCCAAAAGTTAGGCCTCTTGCACCAAACAGTCAGCCAAGTTGTGAACGCAAAAGAAAAGTTCTTGAAAAAAATAAAAAGTGCTACTCCAGTGAACACACAGATAATAAAATGAAACAGCCTTATTACCAATATAGAGACAATTTTAGGGGTCTGTATAGAAGATCAAACCAGCCATAACATTCCTTTAAGCCAAAGCCTAATTGAAAGGAAGGCCACAACTATCTTCAATTCTGTAAAGGCTAAGAGAGGTGAGGAAACTGCAGGAGAAACGTTTGAAGCTAACAGAGGTTGTTTCATGAAATTTAAGGATAGAAGCCATCTCGCTAACATAAAAGTGCAAGGTGAAGCAGCAAGTACTAATGGAGAAGCTGCAGCAAGTTATCCAGAAAATCTAGCTAAGATAATTGATGAAGGTGGTTACACAAAACAATAGATTTTCAATGTAGACAAAACAGGATTATATTAGAAGATGCCATCTAGAACTTCCATAGCTAGAGAGTAGTCAAGGCCTGGCTTCAAAGCTTCAAAGGACAGGCTGACTTTCTTATGAGGAGCTAATGTAGCTAGTGACCTTAAGTTGAAACCAATGCTCATTGATCATTCTGAAAATTCTAGGGCCCGTAAGAATTATGCTAAGTCTTCTCTGCCTATGCTCCATAAATGGAATAAAGCCTGGATAACAGCATCTGTTTACATTTTATTGAATATTTTAAGCCAACTGTTGAGGGCCACTGCCCAGAAAAAGACATTCTTTTCAAAATATTACTGTTAACAATGCACCTAGTCACTGAAGAGCTCAGTACCAGAAGATTAGTGTTGTTTTCATGCCTGCTAACACAACATACATTCTTCACGCCATGATCAAAGAGTAGTTTTGACTTTCAGACATTATTATTTGGGAAATAAATTTTATAAGGCTCTAGCTACCATTAATAGTGATTTCTCTGATGGATCTGAGCAAAATAAATTGAAAACCTTCTGCAGTGGATTCAACATTCTAGATGCCATTAAGAATATTCATGATTCACCAGAGAAGGGCAAAATACCAACATTAACAGGAGTTTGGAAGAAATTGATTCCAATCCTCATGGATAACTTTAAGGGGTTCAAGACTTCAGTAGAGGAAGTCACTACACATGTGGTGGAAATAGCAAGAGAACTAGAATTAGAAGTGGAATCCAGAGATGTGACTGAATTGCTGAAATCTCATGATAAAACTTGACTGACCGAGGAGTTGCTTCTCATGAGTGAATAAAGAAAGTAACTTCTTGAAATGGAATCTACTCCTGGTGAAGATGATGTGAACACTGTTGAAACAACAGCAAAGGATTTAGAATGTGATGTAAACCTAGTTGACAAAGCAGCAGGAGGGTACCAGAGGATTGACTCCAATTTTGGAAGAAGTTTACTGTGATTAAATGCAATCAAATAGCATTGCATGCTACAGAGAAATCTTTTGTGAAAGGAAGAGTTGATCAATATAGCAATCTTCACCGTTGCCTTATTTTAAGAAATTGCTATAGCCTCCCCAACCTTCAGGTACCATTACCCTGATCAGTCAGCAGCCATCAACATCAAGGCAAGACCTCCCACCAGCAAAAAAAGTTACAAGTTACTGAAGGCTCAAAGGATCATTTGCATTTTTTAACAATAAAGATTTTCATTTGTGAGACAAGGTCTCTCTCTGTCACCCACCCTGGAGGACAGTGGCACAATTGTATCTCACTGTAGACTCTATCTCCCAGGCTCAAACGATACTCTCACCTCAGCCTCTGAATTGCTGAGACTATAGGCACACACCACCATGTCCAGTTTGTTGTTGTTGTTGTTGTTGTTAGTATTTTTATTAGAGACAGATCTCACTATGTTGCCCAGGCTGGTCTCTAACTCCTGAACTCAAGTGATTCTTCTGCCTTGGCCTCCCAAAGTGCTGGGATTACAGGCATGAGCCACTGTACCTGGCCTAAAATATTCTTCAATTAAGGTCATTGGTTTTTAGACATAATGCTATTTCACACTTAATAGACTACAGTATAGGGTAAATATAACTTTTCTACATATCGGGAAACCAAAAAATGCATGCAACTTGCTTTATTGTAGTGGTCTAGAACCAAACCCACAATATCTTCAAGGTATATCTGTATACAAGAATTTTTATTAAAATATTGATAGTGGGTGTCTCTAGGTGACAAAACTAAACAAGTTTTTAGTTTTACTCCTACGTTTCTGTCTTTTTCAAATTTCTTTTAAAGAGCATGTATGGCTTTGATAATATTTTTTAAATTTTCTAGAAAAATCTTTAAAAGCTAAAAAAAATTT